GGCCGGGGCCGGGGCAGCCCGGCGGCGATAGCTGCCCCGCGCCCCCGGGGAGCCGCGAGCGGCGCGGGGCAGGGAGCACTCGTCCCAGGGGCCGGAGCCCAAGCCTGGACTCCGGCCCCTGCTCAGCCCTTCCCAGGCAGCGCTAGAGCCCGCGGTAGGAAACCGCTCAGCAGTGACCCCGGGGCAGCCCTTGGCTTTAAGGTCTCACCTGCTCCCGATTTCCTCTTCCTCGTGAATCAAAGCAGTGTGGAGTACCAGCGCCGTGGGCTGGATATCTCAGTGCTGTAACAGTCCATTATCACTTGGACCCGAGGCACCGCTCTTGGGAGGCTGCCATCTCTACCTTGCTGGTGCTCCATCCATCCATATTTCTCCATTTTGGCTGTTTTATTCCCAAGCATTTTCCCAAGCTGGGAATCCTGCCTTGGCAGTAGTTTAAAGACCATTTACAAATTGCTGGTCAGGTATCTCTACAGCCCAGCAGCGATTTGTATGTTAGTTAGCAGCTGAGCCTAAACCAAATAAAAGATATTGCATGCAGTAGGGACCACTCTAAATGTTTGCCTCTGGGCAGAATGGCAAGAAGGAACAGCTATTTGGCAACCTGCAGGGGAAGGAATGTAAATAACAGTACCGGGAAATGATTTAAAGCATTACAGATTCTGACCTTGCTGCACTTACCTATGGCTTTATGCAGCTACTTACAGGTTGAGTACATATTTTAGTGTTATATTTTGATACCTAGATATAGGTAAGTAGGTGGTTATCATTAGGCATCATCCTTTAAATGGGTTGCCATTATGCACTATAATTTTCCTCAGTATTTTTCCACTGTCCTAACATGGCTCACATACTCATCCTATCCAAATCTCCCTCCTTTGTCCCTCCCTCCTCTGTCCCCTTCTCCATTTGCTCCAAACTAGTATGCTGTACGCTAGGAAGGCTAGGTTATGAGCTGAGAGCAGGCAAAATAGTCTTAACACCACCACGGCAGCAGGAAAACTCCAGTAAGAGTGGGAGTAGGAGAAGGGAGAGGGAAGTGAAGACCTTCCCAGCTGCTTGTGTTTATCTAGGCCTATATACAGATGGTCAATGACATGCACTCAGAAGATGCTGCTGACTAGCATGCTCTGAAGCAGATGGAAAGGCTTGGACACAACTGCATAGGTGCAGGCTATAGGCGGTAGGGAAGGGTCTTAGAGTACATGACTACAATTACTATGTTCCAGAATAATGTTTGACAACATTTTCCAACACAGATTTTAATAGTCTGTTTTCTCCAACCAGTATAAAAGTGTGCATATCATCAATCTCATTGTAATGAAACCTAGTTGGAACTGGGAGAAAAGCACATTAAAAGAATTTACTATTATAGGTTTAGTCAGTTTGCCACATCATACTAATGAAAAAAAAATCAGTTCCTGCTGCTGGGAGGTTGAAAGCAGAGATTGTACTAGATAGCATAACTGCTTATGCATTTTCTAGTATGTGCTATCTAAACCATGTTACACACTCTCTTTATTCATTGAAATTTCTGGCCATGGTTGAAATAGAGTTCATAACAGGGTAGGTGGGTGCATGAAGCATGTTGCCCCGATGGTAGATGCCCAGTCATCAGCACTAATAGGACTAGACCTTAACACAACGATTAGTTCTTAAAATTCTTGTGTCAATTCATCTTAGAAATGAGACATTTCCCATGTTATCAGGTGTACTTGTCATCTGTCAGGACAGGTCTGTTGAGCTGGCCAATACTGAGGCACATAAGTTTATTTTCATTCATTAGGGGTCTCAAATATATCCTGGTGTCATTTGGGTTTAATGTAAACCCTGAAGCTACCCTAGGATTTTGGCATCAGGTGTTGCAACTAGAGAAACATTGGTGATAAAAATTCAACATGAAAAAGTGGAGTGCTGTGACATGATGCTATGAATATAATCCTACTGTGTCCACCACATTCTGTGTCGCTCTTTTCTTCACTCATGGCAAAATGATTTCAAAACTGAGCTAGTGAAATTAGAGTTGTTGACTAATCAATAGCATTAGGCAATGCCATGTTGCAAACCTTCTTTTTGATGATGATTCACCCAGCAAGGAATTTAAGATTTATTTTAAACAGTTCACCTGTGTTAAGACTACAGCTTGCCTTCTCTATGGAAGGATTGTAACACACATTAGGTAGTAGGGCAGATTGCCTTGTCTTCACCAGGAAAAGACCTTATAGAGGCTCCTCTCTGGTCTTTCCTTTATTAGCTTGTTTTCTTAGAATCTCCCAATGTTGCTAGTGCCAGTGGAAGCTGATTTTATTAGAAGCAGCACTATCTCCGGTGTCTTGTCTACACTAATCTCCCATCATAGCTAGCACTTTTTTGATATTTGACATGCATCAAACTTTCACACCCTTGTAGTAATTCAGCAGTCCACTGAACATGTAGAGTTGGGGTTTCAATCATGTGAGGCACCTAGAGAATAAATGAAAGCAGCCCAGAAAGAAGAGGGCCAGTGAAAGCAAGATCATAGGCCCATCACCCCCCTAGCCCTTCTGTGGCTCTGACCCCACCTACTGGCCCAACACCTTATTTGCAGTAGTAGTGTTAAGGATCCCCGTCCCGGACACGTAGAGGCAGCAGTGTGTCTTCTCAAGACTTTCAGTTGATGGGCCTTGTATACACTACCTTAGCATATATGCTCACTCCCATCCAATTTGGCCGAAGTCCTCTTCTAGGGTCATGTAGGTGTCCCTTCTCCTTTTGTGCAATGGGTCATTAAGTTGACACCCCACTTACATTAACTAGTCAGTCCACATGTTCAGAGCTAATGCCCCATGCCCTTTTGCAGGTCCTGGCTGATCTGACTACATAGTTAAAGTAATAGTCATATTTTCAAGCTTTTGGATGTACCAATGGGATCTAGAGCCTTTTTTTAAAATAAGAGCTTTGATTTTGATAGTTAGGCTCTAGACATGGATCTAAACTGTCTGCTGTACTTCTCTCTTTTCTTACGAACTTCACAGTTGGAGGGCCTTTCTTGGCCAGGAGGAGGAGTTGAGGAGCACTCTGTGGAAGGCAGAGGCAGGTGCTTGCAGAAGTGAGGTGGAATGAACAGGAGGCTGAGTTGGATGCAGCAGGAGTTGGAGAGGGTTAGGCTGTGACAAACAGATGTTGCTGTCAGATTTAGGTTGGTGAAAAGCTTGTGAGGAGTGTCCCTGTGGGAGAAAATCCTTGGTAGGTGGTGGCTGGACAAAGGCTTGAGAAGTCAAAGTTCCTTTGAAAAGGGGTTAGCTTCCATGGTCATTGTGCCTATGTTGGAAGCTGGCCCCAAATGAAAGGCTTCTGTTGCAGAGCTGTGTACAAGAGACTCTGCGGCTGCTGGCTGGTTGTGTGCTAATTGTCCCTCATGGTTGGAGCAGTTTCCTAGCAGCAGATGCATGGTGAACAGTGCTACAAAAAGCAGGAGGGCAGTGTATAAATGTCCCCAGTGAAATACAAGCAGATCCTGGTCAGGAAACCTGCGTGTTAATTAGGTGCCTTTAATGGGAGTTGAGCTGCAAAGTCCTGGTACTGGTTCTGAGGAGCCCTAAGCTTTTCTGGAATTGCCCTCAGATGCCAAGCTGGGAACTGCTGGGTTTTGTCTGGAACTGTAGCTGCTTATTCTACTGTACCAAGCGTATCTTCTTTCTTTCCTTTTAGTTCAGCCCTAGTAAATTCCCTTTTTTAGTGTTTATGGGACTTACCAGGTTCTAGTGCAAATGGAACCTAAAATTAAATCAATTTCAGTGCTTACCTATGAATTGTGACCTGCTTGGTGGTAATGAGTACTTCAAGAGGTTTGGTGTATCCCAGTTCTCTATAACATTAATTGCACCATCCCTGTCTGAGGCAACCAAGTTACTGTATTTGGACAAAGAGCTTAGTAAGGTTGCTGATGCAATTACTAGTAGTTCATTCTTTTGGTTATCTGCCTTGCATAGACTTGATCCTCTAACTAATAGGTAATTATCTCAGGCACTAGATGTGTTCACGAAAATTGCTGCCTTCCCGTTGCCTAGAGGAGCCTAAGAATAGGAAGAAAGTGATATATTTTTGAAAGCAGGTTTCTTAATTGACCAAACTGGATACAAAGCTCTGCTGAAGAGTCATGAGAGAGCTGTTTATGAGAATTTAGAGGCCCTCTAATCTAGTTAGATGGCTCTCCCATAGGGATCCCTTTTTATAAATAATTATAAAAATACATAAAGTGAATCATTTGTTAAGAAT